GACCACCCTATTGCGCATACAGACACATAAAAGAGCAATCAAAGCCCTCACCAAAACACCAACCCCGCCGACAACTTTACTTCAACGCAGGAACGATCATTAAAAACACATAGCAACAACAGCAACAAAAAAGTGATAAGGTATGCGTTGCCGCGAACACGCGAGAATCACATCACAAATAAGTAAGAATTTCGTAGAAAGCTATAGGATTGAGGGACTGGCTTGCTGGCTGACTGCCTTGTCGTTTAAGTAACTGACTGTGTAAGCAAGCGTGGACGTTATGTCTGTTCGAATGTGCACATATTTATGTACATATGTGATTAAACACCTAACTACATACATATGTATTTACAAAGTATACAATGTGGGTTTATCAGCCAGCGATAAAAAAAAATTTTTTTTTTTAAATTTCAAAAAAAAAATTTCAAAAAAAAAAATCAACATTAAAGAACACCACAACAGCTCCGTGTCAAAAATGATGACGATGCTGTATGAAAGTACAAATAAACAACACAACATGCATGCATACAGATAGATAAAACTCGGCTTCCAACATTGGACCCTTTCATATGCTTCATTCGTGGGCCGCGACGACTTACACATACAAACATACATACATATGTACCCTCAACGTACAATATGTACAATTAGGCACAGAAATGGTAAATAAATAAGTGGGGGGGAAAGAGTGAATGCACTTGGATAGTGAAGTCAACGGCATAGAGGGGCCATACATATCTGCATATACATACGACTCCATGTGGGCTTAGATGTATGCAGGTATGTATGTACATATGTTCAAAATATGCATTCAAGAGTCGAACTTAATTCCAATCCTAACCGCCACACGCTGCCTAACGACAATACAACGGCTGTATATGATACTGAAGCGACTTCAAAAGTACATAGCCGTAATTCAACAGAAGTGCACTCACAAGCTATACAGCTCTTTATATTGAGCTAAGGGGTATATTATTTGAATATGGATTGGACGTTGTGTAATCCAATGCCTCCTTTAAATGCATTCTGATTGACAGAAATGCAATTCAGCTAAATTAAAACTTATTTTCGGTTTATCGGTTATTTTCAAAACTTTTAATACTAATCTGAGAAAAGTAACTTTTATCCAGCTATAGTGCAAGGTTGGGTCAATCAAGGAAGGTGCGTTTTTTCGGCCCGCCCGAAATCTACCAACACCAGGTGTCCTTTGTTGTACTCGTCCAAAAGCGCTTAAATGAAACTCATTTATTTCTTAGCACTAGTTCCTTTCGCTCTTTTACACATCTTCAAGCGCTCAATTTCTCGATGTCTTCGGAGGTGCTTCTCCCCGAGCCCGCAGTTTCCAAAAGTCCTGGATTTTTCCGAAAACTAAGTTGGAAATTAAACATCTTAATACACTTTATTTTTATTTAGGTAAATATTTATTTTTTATTTCAGTAAATTTTAAGAACTTTTTTAAGAATAAAAGTCATTTTATTCTTACAGGGCAACTTGCGAAAAATACCTATAGTTTTTTCTAGATTTACCCGCATTTCTTTAGATGATGCTATAGGAAAAATTTAGAGAGTAAAATCTTAAACAGAAAACATTTGAACAAATATACATTGAGTAGCGAAAATTTTATAGCGAAAAACGTTATCCAAGCAAAGATATAGCAAGAAACAACAAATCCGGTACAGTAAGCCGCTTTCTTCAAAGTTTTCAGTTTGCCTTAATAAGGATACTAGCCCATACATATGTACATACACATATACATGGTGTTTTAGACAACGCGTCCACCCCCTCTAAAATGGGGGGAAACGTTTTTTTTTTATTGAAAACCGCAAAACTATTGACAACCAAGTCGGGGAAGCTCTATCTTTTAGTAGTATTACCGACTACCGGTTTCGAACGGGAGTGGGGTTAAACTGACCGGTAGTCCATTTTTTTTAAATTATACCTACATGAAAATGTTTTTATTGGAAAACGAAAAAAATATGAATTACCCGACTGGTTCTATCTTTTGGTCAAATTACCGACTTCCGGTTTCGACCCGAAGTGGGTTAAACTGACCGGAAGTCAATTTTTGTGAATGGGACATGAATGCTTTTACCATAGTCTCGGATTCTGCGGGCAATAATACGTAACTTTTGTCGGACTTTTTTTTTTTTTGAATGTACTTCGCTGAGTATTGCAATTTTTGGAATTTGCAATTCCTTAAAAAAAAAAAAATTACCCTTCCTAAGGGTCACCTTTTTAAATTTTTCGGTAACACCTATGTATGTACATTCGGCATTAAATATTTTTTAATAGTTTAATCCAAAAACATTCTCAGTAAAAATTTAATAACTTTTGGAGAGCTTTAATTTACTGACTGATGCATTAGGGTGGTAGGAACTGTGGGTAAGGATACTCGAGGCCAATGACCTTTGAAATAAAAAAAAAATCGCCCTGAGACAAAAACTCGATACGGCATACTTTAAGATCCGATTTTAAATGCCGAAAGTATGACGAAAAGTGACAAACGGCGAACCCTACGTTCGGCCGAAAAAAGGTGTTTGTCTTGCGGAAAGCGCAATTGATGTATTGGTGAAGAAGTTCATATCAGCATGTAACAGCGTCATCAAAAGTAAAGTTAAATCGTACTGGTGGACGATGGAGCTTTCGGAGCTCAAAGTGTCCAGCAGACGCCTTTTTAATAAAGCTGAGCTGAGTGGATTACACTCCGATTGGGAACTTCGCAAGATCGGACTGCGTGTCTTTTAGTCCGACACAAGAAAGACCAAATTCTGGGAAAACGTGGAAGGCGCGAGGAGTCCTGTTCGGTTGGTATACTTGTTTCTTTTGGTGAACTACTGAAGAAACGCTGACTGCTCTGGGTGATTTACTCTTTTAAGCTTTTCCAGCCTACGGAACCGCATAGCAAAGATTTGTGGCCGTGCCGCTGGCTAGCTCCCATCATAGTGAGCTGCCTAGGTCGAATATACTCACGCTTTATCTGGATTATCTTGGTAAATGATGACCTGGAGGAGCTGAAAAGTAAAGTTTTAGGACACTATGTATGATCTTATGCAGGGCTAATTAAATTTATTCACAAACTGGTCCGCTAGCTGTGAAAATGCCAATAATCTTAGAAAGACGGTGATCGGCTTGTTCAAAAGAAGCTAACGCCAAGATTCCCCTCGATCGGTGGTCTTCTATTTGCGCTCTGTAAGAGTAAAGATTTTGAGCGTGGTCCTCCACCGAAAGCTTTACTAGAAGGCAAATATTTAGGAGCGGCTGCAAGAGCATTATGGGAAGAGTAAACTATTAGCTATATAAAACCAAAATAAAGCCGTCACGCTGGAGTCCTTTAGTAGAAGCCACTACTGCTCTATTGCTTAATGTAATGCTTGGCGTCATAGATTTTGAGTGTAAAGCTGCCGTAATACTGTCCGCCATAAGGCTGAGAAGCAAGAGGGTTTCCCTCAACCCGGCCTATGAGCAATAGGTACTCTTTTTAAACTTCGACTTCAACCTCAAGAACCTTCTATACACATGGGAGAGTGGCAGACTTTGGAATAGAGATCCAACTAACCTCTTTACGGATAGTTCGGACTGGGGAATACCTGACCTGTTTGGGTCGTAGGGCATTGCAAGCTTCCAGAAAATGTATGGTCCTCTCAGCAAGCACTGCGCGGAAACCACGAAATGTAAAGCTGCGAAATCTTTCTGGTCGGCAGTTTACCGCGGAACTCAAAGGTGGCAAATATCGGCCCAGCATGCGGACAAAGACCACACAACACCCAACATCTTTTCGCATGCACCTTCAACCTTACGACCCTGACACAAGAAGCACTCTGTACTCCGCCTATCAATACCACCTGCTTCCTCGGCCTCCGCAAGCGATTTGTTAATCACCATTTACACGAGCGATTTTTGCTCAGTGATGTTGAATGTCCTAGAAAATCGCTTCATGTAAAGACAGCTTTAGACTCATTGGTGGTCGGAGAACTTTGTTTGGTTGTAAGGTGATACGGTCTAATGTACATGTAAAGCAAAATGAAGCAAAGTGAAAAACAAAAGAGAGGAAAATTAAATTAAATTAAGTTGAATCAAATTAAATTTAATTAATTAATGGATAAAATAATTAACTAAATTTAAAAATGTTATGTGAAAGAAGGATAATATTTCGGGTACGGTTTAGTTATTTGTACAATGATTTTGGGCCGCTGGGCCCAAACGCGTATTTCGAATCAAAAAACTTTTATACTCACTTGTAGACAAGAGTAGGTATTCGCTTTATTAAAAAAAAATAAATAAAAAATAAATAAAAAATAAATAAAAATACTATATCTCTGCACTAATTTATTACTAATTTCGGTTTGAAATATGGTTTTTTTTTGTCAATTTCCGAGCTCAGCTGTCAAACGCAAAAAATACACGGAATATCTCTGAAAAAGGTGTTCAGCCCCTTTTCTTCGCAAAACAGAAAGAAATTCTACTTAGTGAGGGTTATAAACCCTAAGTGCAGCCGAAGGCCGCCTACGCCGAAAGGTTTTCTCGGCAAAAGGTGTTCAGCCCTTTTACTTCGCAAAACAGAAAGGAGAATTCTACTTAGTGAGGGTTATAAA